CATTAAATTATTCATGAAAATTAAAATAAATATTTTTTTATTTCTTGTGATTAAATTTTTATATTTTTATTTTAAATTAAAAGTTACTGTAGTTAGTCAAATTGTCTCTTATCATTTGTGATATGTGGTGTTGACATGTTATAATAGATAATGGTATATCTTAATAGATGATGATAAAATATATTTTTTTAATATGATGATATAATCATATAGTATTTTTACCGACCATGTCAATACCACTTGGACATAAAAATGACAAGTGTTATTTTGATTAATAGTAATTAATCAATTATTATTTATATAAGTCTATTTGATCCAAAATAAAAATTATAGACTTGATTGAATGTAATAGAATAATAAAAATTTATTTAAATTTTTTCAAATAATTTAAATTTTTTTTAAATATTATGCCTAACTCTAATTCTTTCCAACAAAATCAGCTAACTGATAGCAACAATGTGGAATATAGGGCTACCGGAGTTTGCTCTCTCCTTCATCAGGTTAGTAAGAAAAGCCTTCATCTCTATCTTTTTATTGACCTTTTTTTTTTAACTTTTAAAGAAAAAAAAAGTAAGAAAAGCTTAAAAAGGGTAAAGGGCATAGTGGTTAGAAGAAAAAATAGTAAGAACCATAAATGGTTCTTTTACTTTTTACCTTTATGTAAAGCTTTCAGCAGAACGTGTAGATGGTAAAACAAAAGTTAAATATTCAAACAAGTTTTTGAACTATGCTAAAAAAATTAATTCAGTTTTTATTTTTTATTACATTTAAATAAGTTTTTAAATTTATATTTTGAGTCAAATAAGCTTCTCTGTCTACTATTAACTAATTTCTATTAATTAATAATACATACAGCATTTTGATACTATGTCATTTGTCACATGGTAGATGAAGTGACATTAAATATTTAATCCTAATGTATCGTTCACTAGTGTAAGTTAGTCAACGGTTAAAGAGAGAGACTTATTTGACTCGAAATAAAAGTTTAAAGATTTATTTGAACACAATAAAAAGATAAAGACTGAATTGATTTTTTTGACATAATTTAAGAACTTATTTAAGTTTTTAATCTAGAATAAATTACCATGGCCTTTTTTTTAATCTCCTTTCAACAAAGCCAATGTCCACATAGCATTGAATTTCTTTAATTATAATAATTCGTACATTTGCATCACTTATTTATTTTTGGAGCTTAACAGCATTTATTCATTTTTATTTTCTATAATTTTGTATGTATCAACTATTCTAAGTTGTTGTAGATTAAAAGCTACAATTCTATATATCCTTCTATATTTAATAATTATTGTACATATCAATTACTAATTTTATAGAATACTTTATTAATGTCCATATGTATTCGTGTGTGTCCAACTGCTACTTTAATAAAATATTTGGACTTTCATAACTTTATATTCAAATTTTATTATTATATTTTTATTTAAATTAGTCAAAAATAAATAGTTATTAAAATTAATAGTATGAAATTAGAAACGTAAAAGTTGTTGATGTTTTAAAAAAAAGACATGATCTTCAAATATGTCGAGATAGATATTAAATTTGTACAATACCCAATAAATCTAATTAGACCTCTAAATGAAAGTTTTGAATTCCTACCATTTCTCGAAAAAAAAAAAGTGTCATATGTGTACATTCTCATAAAAATAGAAATTACCCACGTCCTCTTCATGCCTCTTGTTTGTGTGAGCTTTCGCTATGTAGTTTAAAATAAAAAAAACAAAAGAGTCGTACTTAGATTGAGAAGTTACACTCGAGCATTTAACTCATTAGTTGGTGTATGGTTCCCTATTTAAAGAGTAGGGTTTGAATCTTCCTCTTAATTATAAAATAAAAATACTTAAATTGAGAAGTTCTTTGATTTAGATATTTATTTTAATTTAATCTCTCTATTTAAAATTATGATATTTTAATTTATTAATTTTAAAAATTATTTTAATTTAATTTTTTAATATTTTTTATTTAAATTGATTGTAATAATGTCAACGTTATCAATAATGTGATATTGACCTGATGTCAAATACAAATGTGACATGTGAGGTGGGTTTGAGTTGTTAATGTAACAGTGTTACATTAACGTGTTAAAAAGTAACATGACAATGCCACATTATTCTTTTTCTTTTTTTTGACTTTTCTCTTGCCACGTAGACATCGTGTGGCATGTTAGGGAGGGCACTAACATGGCAAGACGTGGCATTACTTGATCCCTAGATAATAGGGAGAAGAGAAAGAAAAGAATAAGAGCATGGCGTGGCACTGCCACATCAGCAATCTAACCCACTTCACATGCCACCTCAACATTTGGTGTTGCATCATGTCATTCATGACGTTAGCATTATTATGATCAATTTGAATGAAAAATATTAAAAAAATTAAATTAAAATAATTCTTAAAATTAAGAGGCTAAAATTAGTAAAAGAACTAAATTAAAAAAAAAAACTTCTAAGTATGAAGACTTCTCAAGTAATTTGACTATTTTTTCTCATTTTACTATTTATTTAATAGAAAAATAGAATTACAAAAAGCATTATTAGATCAAATATAAAAAATGGACTGTTGAAAATTTTCGAGAATGTAAATGACAAAAATAACACATCAACAATTCAATATTACCGAAAACAAAAAAATTAGACTCTACCTTGCTAGCCTTTTTGCCTTGAATTTTTTTTTTCTTGATGTGGTGTCTTTGCTTTTTTTTATGTCTACCTTGTCGCTTGGGTTTAATACTACTTTATTCTAGTCTCCCATGCTTTCACAGTTTCACTTTCCTTTCACAAGTTTAAATTAATTTGTTTGTTTTGCACTCCCTCAATTTTATTTATCCAATTGTTTGCTACATAAAGATTGATGAGTACCAATTGTTTGATGAATTTTATTAAAAATTGTTATTTAAAATGTGTTAGCTTGATGGAAAAATTTGAGTGGTCTATGAAACTGTATAAGAGCAATTCTTTTTTGGCATAAGGTTCAAAAAAGTATTTTAATTAGTTAAAAAAATTTAAATAAATTTTTATTTGTTTATTTCTTTCAATCAAGTTTATTTAATTTTATTTTTATCAATTAAGTACTTATAATTAATAGTTGATTAATTTTCATTGATAAAAAAATCATTTGTCATTTTATATCTACATAACATTGACGTAATGTTAATATGAAAGATAAAAAATGTCATATGATCATGTCATCATATTACATTAATATGTCAAGTCATCATTAATTATGATATATCAATATACCATGTTATCATCAATAATGACATTTTAACATGTTACGTCACTACCATATGAGATAGAATAATAAAAGATATTTTGACAAAGCTAACTATTAATAATAAGAACTAATTTGGCTCAAAATAAAAATATAAGACTTTATTTGACTTAAGATAAAAGTATTGAGATTTGAATGAACACAATAAAAATAATAAAAGCTTATTTGAGATTTTTTTAGTAATTTAAAGACTTTTTTAGGTATTGTACTTTTTATTATATGAGATCTTTATAATAGTTATAACATTTTTCTATTTAGATGAATTAGTTAATGGAGTCCTTTAATAATTTTGATAATATGTTGGTTTTTTTTATTTTTTATTTGAACATGTTCGAAAGAAGAAGTTATGTTTAATAAAAATGTATTTTCAACATATCTTGAGGTTTTAATTTTTATGTTTTATTCGCATTGTACACTTATAAAAGTCCACAGCTTATTTTGATTACAACAATTAGTAATAAAATAATTACTTTTTTTAAGAAATAAAAATAAAAATATATTTACTATTTTTTATGAGTGTTTAATAAAATTTTAATTATTCAATTAATTAAAAGGATTTAATCAATTATTGATGATGTAGTTTGAGCATGAAGCGTTAACAAGACACAAAAACGGGGTAGCAGATTCCCGTTATTCTCGCAGGGAAAGCACTGTTGATTACCGCGACACATTTCCATTAAACACTACGGAACTTTAGTTGCAATCTATTTAAGCTAATTCAAGTAAGCTTGATCCATCTTGTACACACACA